AAACTGCTAGGCCATTAAATGCTAATGAAGTTGGCCAATTACAACTTTTTAAATACTGATAGCCAGATATTGATAGCCAGATACTGGTAGCCAGCTAGTCACCTCAACAAAGGATTCCCCCAGTCAGTTGGGAGTGATTAGCTGGCCCTGGTTGTTTCTTGTCTGGAATAACCCTGTTGTTGTTTTTTTAGTGTTGTTCTTTATTTACTGTTATGATTTTAGAGGTTTTTTAATACTAGTAGCAAGATATTGACAGCCAGATACTGGTAGCCAGCTAATCACCTCCCAACAAAGGATTCCCCCAGTCAGTTGGGAGTGATTAGCTGGCCCTAGTTGTTTTTTGTCTGGAATTCCCCTAGTTTTTAAGGGTTATCCTTTATTTAGTGTTATGATTTTAGAGTATTTTTATACTGGTAGCCAGATATTGATAACTATATACTGGTAGCCAGCTAATCATCTCCCAACAAAAGATACCCTCAGTCAGTTGGGAGTGATTAGCTGGCCCTGGTTATTTCCTGACTGGAATTCCTGTTTTTGGAGTGTTGTTCTTAATTTACTGTTATGATCTTAGAGGTCCTTTTCTAATACTGGTAGCCAGATTTTGATAGCCAGATACTGGTAGCCAGCTAATCACCTCCCAACAAAGGATTCCCCCAGTCAGTTGGGAGTGATTAGTTGGCCCTGGTTGTTTCTTGTCTGGAATTCCCGTGTTTTTTTAGTGTTGTCCTTTATTTACTGTTATGATTTTAGAGTTTTTCTTAATACTAGTAGCCAGATATTGATAGCCAGATACTGGTAGCCAGCTAATCGTCTCCCAACAAAGGATTTCCCCAGGCAGTTGGGAGTGATTAGCTGGCCCTGGTTGTTTCTTGTCTGGAATTCCCCTAGGTTTTTTGTGTTGTTCTTTATTTACTGTTATGATTGTAGAGGTTTTTTAATTCTGGTAGCCAGATATTGATAGCCAGATACTGGTAGTCAGCTAATCACCTCCCAACAAAGGATTCCCCCAGTCTTTTGGGAGTGATTAGCTGGTCTTGTTTTTTTCTTGTCTGGAATTCCCCTGTTTTTTGAGTGTTGGTCTTTATTTACTGTTATCATTTTAGAGTTTTTTAATACTGGTAACCAGATATTGATAACTAGATACTGGTAGCCAGCTAATCACCTCCCAACAAAGGATTTCCCCAGGCAGTAAGAAGCCAGACCTTGAAACTACTAGGCTATTAAATACTAAACAGAATGGCCAATTGAACTTTTCTTTGTCTACTTCTGAGGCTGAGAGAGTATGACTTTCCACAAGGTCAACCCATGGGTTTCTATCATGGAAGAGATATTAGAACCTTGATCTCCCAGAATCATTCCAGGATTTTAAGATCGTCTGGGGAGGACCTGCTCTCAGTCCTGCCTTTGTCACAAGTACGGCTGGCGGGGACGAGAGACAGGGCCTTCTCAGGGGTGGCCCCTCGGCTATAGAACAGAAATCAGATTGGTCCCCTCCCTTTTAATATTTCGAAAAAGAGTCAAGACTTGGCTCTTTGAGTAGGCAGTTCCAAATACAGTGCTTGAGGCTCAATAAAACTGGCAACTGGGCTTGGCAAGGGGACTCATCCCTGTATTTAAGGTTTGGGGCAAGGACCCCCCCCCCCCCCCCGGGTGGTCCTCACCCCAAACCTTGTGTTGTAAAGACTAGAATCCGGGGAGTGGGGTGAGCTCCCGTCTGTCAGCTCCAGCTTCCCATGCAGGGACATGCAAGCAGCCTCCCACAGGATGGTAAAACATCCGGGCGTCCCCTGGGCAATGTCCTTGCAGACTGCCAATTCTCTTTTAACACTACTATGATAAGCGACTTTGCCTGTTTTTATAGTGTCTGTTTGGAACCTATACATATACAGCTAATAAGGTTTGGAATGGCGAGTGCGTTCCAAGGTATCCAGCCTTTTCGTGCCACTAGTGGTATGTCATCGTTTTGGCATTTTCAACGCATGTGGTCGACTTGTGCTATCATAGCATCGTCTCTTGCCTCTCTACCCCCCCCCTCTCCCCCCCCCCCCCCCCCCACTCTCATGACGTTCGCCACTCCCCAGAAAATTGCAGCTGTTGCCAATACGGTTCTATAATTCTTGGCTAATTGCCTGCCGCTCCCTCGGCCTCTCCGTCGCTCGCTTGCTAATAAATGGGAACGAATCTGAGTGCTTTGCAGAAAGGCAGCTTTTTGGCCCTGCTTTGCATGGCTTGCCCACTCCCTCTTTCCCAATCCCACCCCACTCACGTCTCTGCATCCAAAGGTCAGCTTCCTTTGACCTTGCAGGATGGCTTTGCAAAGAGAGGAAGGGCAGAGGGAAAGCCATCCTGCAAGGTCAAGGGAAGCTGACCTTTGGATGCAGATGCTGTGGTTGGCTGAAGCAGTTTGCTATGTGTGGAGTGCTGCTGGACATCAAATCTGGACATTAAGGTTCAAGTTCTCTTATTTATTCAGATGTTGAATGGTCATCTCTTGGGAGGGATTTGATGGTGTCTTCCTGCATGTCAGGGATTGGGCTGAATGCCCCTTGTGGTCTCTTCCAAAACTATAATATTATAAATCCATCACTGGCTGGATGGTTATCTGCTGCGAATGCTTTGATTATATTTCTCTGCATGGCAGGGTTGGACTGGTTGACCCTTGTGGTCTCTTCCAACACTATGATTATATGGCCATCACTGGCTGGATTATATGGCCATCATCTGCTGGGAATACTTTGATTATATTTTCCTGCATGGAAAAGGGTTGGACTCGATGGCCCTTGGGGTCTCTCCCAAAGCTATGATTATATGAATCTATCAGTGGCTGGATGGCTATCTGCTGGGAATGCTTTGATTATATTTTCCTGCATGGCAAAGGGTTGGATTGGATGCCCTTTGGGGTCTCTTCCAATGCTTTCATTTTATTGTTCTATACATTTTCAGTGGCTAGATGACCATCTGTCAGGAGGGCTTGGACAATGTCTTCCTTCATGGATGACCCTTGGGATCTCTTCCAAAGCTATGATTTTATGAGTCTATGATTCTCTCAGTGGTTGGATGGCCACCTGTCAGAAGTACTTTGATTGTATTTTCCTAACCACCCATAAAATCAACTTTATGATTATTTTATGGGTGGTTAGATGGCCATCTGTCAGGAGTGCTTTGATTATATTTTCCAATATGGTAGAAGGCCGTTGAACTGGATGGCCCTTGGAGTCTCTCTTGACTTTATGGTTCTATCAGCAGTTAGATGGTCATCCTTCAGGAGTGATTTGATTATATTTTCCTTCATGGCAGAAGACAGTTGAACTGGATGGCCCTTGGGGTCTCCCTCAACTCTAAGATTCTATCAGTGGTTGGATGGCCATCTGTCAGGAGTGCTTTGATTGTTTTTCCTTCATGGCAGAAGACAGTTGGACTGGATGGCCCTTGGGGTCTCTCTCAACTCAATGATTCTATCAGTGATTAGATGGCCATCTGTCAGGAGTGCTTTGATTGTATTTTCCTGCATGGCAGAAGGGATCTCTCTCAATTCTATCAGTGGTTGGATGGTTATCTGTCAGGAGTGGTTTGATTGTTTTTCCTTCATGGCAGAAGACAGTTGGACTGGATGGCCCTTAGGGTCTCTCTCAACTCCATGATTCTATCAGTGGTTGGATGGCCATCTGTCAGGAGTGCTTGGATTATATTTTCCTTCATGGCAGAAGGCAGTTGAACTGGATGGCCCTTGGGGTCTCCCTCAACTCTAAGATTCTATCAGTGGTTGGATGGCCATCTGTCAGGAGTGCTTTGATTGTATTTTCTGGTGTGGCAAGAGGTTAGCTGGCTGTCCCATTAGGTCTCTTCCAACACTGTGATTCTATGGTGAGAATACTTCTTGGTGTAGGATCTTAGCCTATGTGTGGAGAAGACGTGATGGCCACCTTTAGGTCTCTTCCAACACTGTCATTCTATCGTGAGGATACCTCTTGGTTTAGGATCTTAGACTCTGTGTGAAGAAGATGTGATGGCCACCTTTAGGTCTCTTCCAACACTGTGATTCTATGGTGAGGAGGATACCTCTTGGTGTAGAATCTTAGCCTGTGTGTGGAAAAGATGTGATGGCCACCTTTAGGTTTCTTCCAACACTGTATTCTATGGTGAGGATACCTCTTGGTGTAGGATGTTAGACTCTGTGTGAAAAAGATCTGATAGCCACCTTTAGGTCTCTTCCAACACTGATTCTATGGTGAGGATACCTCTTGGTGTAGGATCTTAGCCTATAGGAGGAGAAGATGTGATGGCCACCTTTAGGTCTCTTCCAACACTGATTCTATGGTGAGGATACCTCTTGGTGTAGGATCTTAGCCTATAGGAGGAGAAGATGTGATGGCCACCTTTAGGTCTCTTCCAACACTGATTCTATGGTGAGGATACCTCTTAGTGTAGGATCTTAGCCTATAGGAGGAGAAGATGTGATAGCCACCTTTAGGTCTCTTCCAACATTGTTATTCTATGGTTAGGATAGCTCTTGGTGTAGGATCTTAGCCTATGTGTGGAGAAAACGTGATGGCCACGTTTAGGTTTCTTCCACCACTGTGTTTCTATGGTGAGGATACCTCTTGGTGTAGGATCTTAGCCTATGTGTGGAGAAGATGTGATGGCCACCTTTAGGTCTCTTCCAACACTGTGATTCTATGGTGAGGATACCTTTTGGTGTAGGATCTCAGCCTGTGGGTGGAGAAGATGTGATGGACACCTTTAGGTCTCTTCCAACACTGTGATTGTATGGTGAGGATACCTCTTGGTGTAGGATCCTAGCCTATGTGTGGAGAAGATCTGATGGCCACCTTTAGGTCTCTTCCAATTCTGTGATTCTATGGTCAAGGTATGTCTTATTGTAGGATCTTGACCTTTGTATGGAGAAGACATGGTGGCCAAGCCCACCTCTATGTTCTAGATGTTGTGTCCCTTTCCCCATCCATGCTTCTTTTAATCCCGACCTTTCTCTTTTCTCATAGGATGATCCCCTCCTCCAGCAAGACCTTCCTGGTCAACGACTTAGCGGCCGGCCGTGACTACGACCTGTGCGTCTTGGCCGTCTACGACGACGGAGTCACCTCCTTGACGGCCACTCGGGTGGTGGGCTGCGTCCAGTTCACCACCGAAGGGGAGGCTGCCCAGTGCCACTCGCTCCACACCCAGTTCCTGGGCGGCACCATGATCATCATCATCGGGGGCATCATTGTGGCCTCCGTCCTGGTCTTCATCATCATCCTCATGATCCGCTACAAGGTCTACAGCGGCCAGGATGAGCACAAGAAAGCCAAAGTCAGCAACGTCTACTCGCAGACCAACGGGAGCCAACCTTCTTCTTCCGCCACCGGTGCCGGTTTGCCCCACTCGGCTTCCAAGCTTGGTGAGGACAAATACGAGACTCTCCACGAGACGGCCACCAAGGGGGAAGCCAAGGAGGAGGCCCCCAACGGGCAGGATGTCCTGGCCTTGACCGAAGTGGAGAAGCGCTCAGCCAAGGTGGCCGCGGACCTCCAGACGGTGGCCGTCTTGACCTCGGAGGAGAGGAAGGCGGGCGAAGGCAGCATGACCGCCTCCTCGGTCTCCTTGTGCCTCCTCAAAGACGCCCAGCTCTGCGCCACCTTGGGGGGCAGTGGGTCGGGGGTCTTCCCCCGCGAACTGTCCAGGACTCACCACCACCGCCACTCCTTCGACGGGGACTTCTCCCTCTTCCAGAGCCACAGCTACCCCCGCCGGGCAAGGACAAAAAGACACATGTCCACCTCCCAGTTGAACTCGGAAGAGTGTCCCCTGAGCCACAGGAGGGTCACTTTTAGCAGCACAGAGTGGATGCTGGAAAGCACAGTCTGAGACCGGGCCAGGAGGGTCGATATGGGGTGGGGGACAAAGGGGGTGGGTGGGGAGGGGGCGGGGGGGCATCGGGAGCGGGCAAGGGACTGCCGGACGCACAACCAATGGGGGGCAAAGGGATGGCGGGAGGGGGGCGGGGAAGATAGAAAGCAAAAGTAAGGGGGGGGGGACAGGCCGAAATACTCGAGAGGAGGGGGATGGATCCGGCGCATCCCCCCAAACCTCTCCCCCCCAAAAAATGACCGCTTGTTTCCAGAGTTTTTTCTGCAGCGGTGCCTTAGCCAAGCCACAAAAGAAAGAGAGAGAGAAAGGGAGAGTGCGAAAGAGGGAATGAAAGAGTGAGGAAGGAAGGATGGAGTTGCAATTTTCAGGAAAGGTGCCCCTACGGCCCCTTCTAAACTGCCATATAAAATCTAAAGTGGATTATATGGCAGTGTAGACTCATATAATCCAGTTCAAACCAGATAATATGGATTATCTGCTTAAATATTCTGGATTATATAGCAGTGTAGAAGGGGCCTCAATGCACCTGCACTATAAAATGAAGGGTGGCCCCTTGTTCACTACCATATACAATCCAGATTATCTTTGAATTGGATTATATGGCAGTGTAGACTCATATAATCCAGTTCAAACCAGAAAATATGATATTCTGGATTATATAGCAGTGTAGAAGGGGCCCGAGTGCACCTGCACTATAGAATGAAGGGTGGCCCCTTCTTCACTACCATATATAATCCGGATTATATTTGAACTGGATTATATGGCAATGTAGACTCATATAATCCAGTTCAAACTAGATAATATGGATTATCTGCTTTAATATTCTGGATTGTATAGCAATGTAGAAGGGGCGTGAGTGCACCTGCACTATAAAATGAAGGGTGGCCCCTTGTTCACTACCATATACAATCCAGATTATCTTTGAATTGGATTATATGGCAGTGTAGACTCATATAATCCAGTTCAAACCAGAAAATATGATATTCTGGATTATATAGCAGTGTAGAAGGGGCCCGAGTGCACCTGCACTATAGAATGAAGGGTGGCCCCTTCTTCACTACCATATATAATCCGGATTATATTTGAACTGGATTATATGGCAATGTAGACTCATATAATCCAGTTCAAACCAGATAATATGGATTATCTGCTTTAATATTCTGGAATATATGGCAGTGTAGAAGGGACCTCAATGCACCTGCACTATAGAATGAAGGCAGTGTGGCCCCTTCTTCACTGCCATATACAATCCAGATTATCTTTGAATTGAATTATATGCCAGTGTAGACTCATATAATCCAGTTCAAACCAGATAATATGGACTATCTGCTTAAATATTCTGGATTATATAGCAGTGTAGAAGGGGCCTGAGTGCACCTGCACTATAGAATGAAGGGTGGCCCCTTGTTCACTACCATATACAATCCAGATTATCTTTGAATTGGATTATATGGCAGTGTAGACTCATATAATCCAGTTCAACCCAGATAATATGGATTAGCTACTTTGATATTCTTGATTATATAGCAGTGTAGAAGGGGCGTGAGTGCACCTGCACTATAAAATGGTGGCCCCTTGTTCACTACCATATATAATCCAAATTATCTTTGAACTGGATTATATGGCATTGTAGACTCATATAATCCAGTTCAAACCTGATAATATAGATAATAGAAAATCTAGATTATCTGCTTTGAACTGGATTGTATGCCAGTGTAGACTCATATAATCCAGTTCAAACCAGAAAATATGGATTATCTACTTTGATAATCTGGATTATATGGCAGTGTAGAAGGTGCCTGAGTGCATCTGCACCATGGAATGAAGGCAGTGTGGCCCCTTCTTCACTGCCATATAAAAACCAGATTATCTGCTTTGAACTGGATTATATGGCAGTGTAGATTCATATAATCCAGTTCAAAGCAGATAATATGGATTATCTGCTTTGAAAATCTAGATTATATGGCAGTGTAGAAAGGGCCTACACCAGCAATTCTCAATCTTTAGTGTCTGGACTTCGGACACAATATGGCACAATGATTGGAGATTCTGGGAGGTGAAGTCCAAAACACCTGGAAGTTTGGGATTCGCTGATCTATGGAATGAATGCAGTTTGATGCCACTTGAACTGCCATGGCTCTGTGCTATGGAGTCACGGGAGCTGTTGCTTCCACTCTTGGGCAGAGAATGTCACTGGGGTGGAAGAGAGAAAGAGTAAAAATGCAAACAACACCCCTCCTAGGTAGGAACATGAATTCCTCCTCTCACGACCTCCTCATCCAGCTATGTGATGGACTGTCTCAAAAGCAAGCAATCAGTTCTGATCCCCAAAACACTGCAGAGTCTTGGTTACAGTTAGCAGAGATTTTATAGCACAGTCGCTGACCTTTTATAGTACCTCACCAGCTTGAATAAGCACACTTGATCTCTGGCTTTCATCCAGACTCCTTTGGAGGTGTATTCTTCAGTCGTTTCTACATATAACTATTTACAGGTCTGCTATCAGTGGACAGAGATACAAATATAGCAAGACACACAACGAGGACGGGGATGGATTACAGATGCAGAGAGATCTGTGGCAAAGCATCTAAGGCTGGATCTACATTGCGACATTAATCTGGATGATCAGATAATCCACATTATCCTCTTTGAACTGGATTATATGAGTCTACACTGCCATCTAATCCAGTTCAAATCAGATAATCTGGATTTTATATGGCTGTGTGGAACCAGCCTATGATGGCAGAGAGCAAGCACATAGCAAAGAGGAAGTTGACATACAATCCACTCCCATTCTTCTCTCCAGGGACCACAGGAAATAACTCAGCTGTCCGTCTAGGACAGTTATGGGCAAACTTGAGCCCTCCAGGTGTTTTGGACTTCAACTCCCACAATTCCTAACAGCATACCGGCTGTTAGGAATTGTGGGAGTTGAAGTCCAAAACACCTGGAGGGCCAAAGTTTGCCTATACCTGCTCTAGGATCACATCTCTACTTTCTTAACCATTCCAGAGGCCTGTGAACACATGTCCATAAGAACTGTATTTTTCCATGCTGTATTAGATGGGTACATGCAATGCATTCCTATCTAATACAGCATTTTCTACCCGAGAAAGAAGGCCTTGGAAAACTACAATTCCCGGAGCCTTGGTGGTTAAAGTGGTGCCAAAACTGCATTCATTCCACAGTGTAGATGCACCCGGTTGGGTTTCCCAAATGATGGAGAATAGGGGTTCAGCATGGGGGAAAATATAGGAAAGATTGCAAGGCGAAAGGTGGCCAAGGAGAGACTCATATGCACAGAGGACACAAAATTAAACCAAGACCCCTCCCCGTTCTTTCCCCTTCCTCCTTATGCATTAATAACCGTTCCAATAAAGAAGAAGGAAGCCGACTTCAGGACTGAATAAAAATAAAAATGGTGGGATTTGGGGGTGTTTTTTGGGGGGGAGGAACAAGAGGGTGCCCTTCTGACCCAACGCCGAACCAAGACCCCAACGAGACGATTCGGTTCCTCTATTTATTGTATCTGGCTGGTCTAGATAAAAGAAAATTCTGTGTTTGGTGTGTTCATTATCGGAAAAGTCATTTGGATCCATGGACCCACCTCTTTCCCTTTTGTGATCCCGATCTCTGTCCCTTTTTCCTCCAAAGATATCGATATCTTCAGCCCCAAATTTCCACTATTGATAACATCCCCCCAAAAAACCCATTGGCTTCCTCTCCACGGAGCCTTGGAAATAACACCCTCTCCCCAGTTCCATGTTTCCTCCAAATATCCGGAGTTCTACCTCCCCAACATGTCTCCAAAATTTTGTCTTTGGATCCCATTCTTCCTCCTTCCAGTCTCCATGACTCCATCCCAAACCATGACTTCTTGCAAAGTCGACAACAGCCCCAACGTTTTGAGTGTTGAACACAAGTTTTTACATTAAAAACCTGTGCCTGCCGCGCCCTCCCATTGCTCCAAACTGGTCCCCTTCCGTCCACCCCCACCCCCGCCTCCATTATCCATCCTTCTTCCTCCCAGTTAATCCCAGTTCCAACCAGTTCCTCCATCAACATGGTGCGGCTGCTTTTCGGAGGTGATTAAATCTTTTGTGTGTGAACCGCGGCCTGGGTCTGGCTTATGTTTTCCGATTTTTAAGAAGTGGGATTTTCAAAGCGTAAGTGACCATGTATGCATGTATGTATGCATGTATATGTACAGTGTTCCCTCACTTATCATGGGTACAAGGTAAAAAGTCCATGCAGCTACATTTTGCCTAGAGAGAGGCAAAATGTAGCCTTACTGGAAGGAAGGCAAAAGCAGAAGACTGGAAAATGGTGGAGGGAGTGTAAGTGACCATGTATGTATCTATGCATGTATGCATATGTACAGTGTTCGCTCACTTATCACAAGTACAAGGTAAAAAGTCCATGCAGCTACATTTTGCCTAGAGAAAGGCAAAATGTAGCCTTACTGGAAGGAAGGAAAAAGCAGAAGGGACTGGAAAATGGTGGAGGGACTGCATGGTCAACCCAGGGCAATAAAACTTAAAGAAGTTTTTCCCCATTACTATAGTGTTTCTCAACATCGACACCGAAATACAACACTGCCTGAGCTCTGCGAATGCAGAATTTTTCCGAATGAAGCAGAGCCATTACATGCTAATCAAGGTGAAATATTCACACCTAGCTGCAGCAGACATCTTTGTCCCACCATGGTCATTCCACAGATATATAAACCCATTTTCCTACTTCCAACAGACCTCACTACCTCTGAGGATGCTTGCCATAGATGCAGGCAAAACGTCAGGAGAAAGTGCCTCTAGAACATGGCCATATAGCCCGAAAAAACCTACAACAACCCAGTGATTCCGGCCATGAAAGCCTTCGACAATACATTGAAGCAGAGAGTGTTTGAGGACTGGGACATCCGTAGGGAGACCAAAGGGAGACCAAAGCTATTGTCCTCTCAACACTGCGGAACGTGCTGTCTACAGGCATGACATGCAAATCCTGGAACAATTCCATCAGCGC